TTATCTTCATTAATGACATTTGTAATACAGAAAACATTATGCTAAAACATGATTTTCAAAATACTCGGGTCCTATGCATACTATTTTTGTTTCATTGAACTTAATGAAAGAGTAAAAATAGTTTCACATTGGCCAAATAGATTGGCATAGGTTAAAGAAATACTAATCAAAAGCCTATAGATAGAATTACAAGTAGTAATATTAGAAAGTTTTAGACACACACATACACCCCCCCCCCCCCCCACCTCCCAGTGATGGCTGTCTGCCATGTTAACATCTGAAAAGAAATATAAGCACTACTAATATCAGATTTCAATGTCAAACTTGGTTGTACTCAACAAAAGTTTTCAGGCTGCTTCTGGAATCACATTCTTTTGTTTTTACATTTTAAAAGTATGGATACAGTACACAAATACATTTATAGCATTCCTCAAAGAAGATAAATGGGTATTTTTACTTTGGCACTGTGTGATCTTGAAAATGAAAAAACTGACTTCACTATCATCGCTATTGTGAATATTATTTGTGTATACGGCATTCTAATACAAAAATTTACAAGATTTTGTCTCCTACAAAGTCTGCTAATAATAATAATAATAATAGTTTTGTATTTGGTAATTCAAGATCCCGTTTGTGAACATGAGTCAGGTCTGATTTTATGAGGTAGAAAACATTTTCAGTAACAGCTCCTACATCCTTTCAGTAACAGCTCCTACATCCTGCAGAGGTAGTCTACAAATAACACAAACTCCCTCTATCTTCCTCTTCCTCTAGTAAAAATATTTGTATTCAGATCCATGGGGATGTTTACTACTATGATTGAATTATTATTATTAAATGATTTGATTAAAAAAACTTACACATTTACAAGTTGTTCAAGGTAATGTAAGATAATCAAAAAACTAACCTATTGCAAAGCCATAGCCAGAATGAACATCAGGCAAGCCCACTGATCTCTACAAACAAATAAGCATAATCTTTTGTTATTTCATGCAAAACAATAATGGATTCTACAGTAAAATGTCTTTTTAAATACATATTTTTTTTTTCTTTACCATGGGAAAATGTTTATTATAGTTACTTTCTTTAAAGGTCAAAGATTAATATTATTCATTAACTCTTCTTATCCATTACATTTTTATATATACTACTTCTTTTAAACATTAGAGTTGTCTTCCTTAAAAAAAAAAACCAAAAAAAAACCAAACATTTACTGCTAGAATTAGCAGCATAAATTGAAGATGCGTACGTACCAAGAGGAGCTCAAATTTATTGAAAAGTCCTCACCTAATTGTTGGCATATTAAGAAAGTATTTGTTGATAATATGAAGGTATGAAAATTTTATAGCTTTTATTTTATTTTATTTTTATTTTATTTGTTCAATTACCAAACAAACATAAAAGTTTTACACTTTGCTGTTAGTATGTATCATGATTTTTTCTTTCATGCCATACTATGCTCTACATTTAAAATTGAAAAATATTTTGTTTTTAAGTTTGAAGATAGTAGGGTGCTGTGAAGCTACATGGATAAGTGAAAATGATCTTATTTCCATAAGAAAGCATAAAATAATTTAGAAGACAAAAAGGTGAATGTTTTAATTACATAGGATACCTAGAATGTTTTTGTTGACATAGCAGTTGAAAAATAAATTTAAAGATTTAAATTCAAGGAAAAACAAAAATATTTTCAAGATACACTTAGTTTTAATATGGTTGAAGGGGGACATTTAATTTAGAAGTACAATGTGAATTTTTCCAGCATTTAAAACTAAATGTTTACTAACCCCAACTATACCAGGTAAGGCAGCAACATTAGCTATTTGTTTCATGCCTGGCAAAAAGCCTCCGAACCCCTTACTGTTACATGACTGTTTCAATTCATCAAACATTAGTTTCTCTAATGATGGATTTGCATAGAAATAGCCATCAACCTGAAAACAGATACATAAACAAATTCAATACAATTGCCATTCTTGATAATTAATAATAATTGTAATTATCGAGAACATGAACAAAACAATACACATATTCAGCAGTAAATTGTATTTTTTTAAAGCTATTATTAAAATGTGTATTAAAGTTATAGCTATAAAATTTTCATACCTTCATATTATCAACAAATCCTTTCTTAATATGCCAACAATTAGGTGAGGACTTTTCAATAAATTTGAGCTCCTCTTGGTACGTACGCATCTTCAATTTATGCTGCTGCTGGAATGCTATAAGTAAATATTTGTGTTTTATTTAGTGCATATAATTTTCTTTTTAAAGAACATACTGATAAAAATGTAAAATTTACACTAAAACAAAGAAAATTTTGTAAGAAAAGACAAATAGCAAATAATTCATTTTTTATTTGTTATTCACAATGACTTTTTTTTTTTTAAAAAGTGTGATTATCTGGACTAAATTTTTTCTTGATGTAGTGAAAAACATTGTATAAGAAATATTTATAAGCCAGAATAAAGTAGCAAAGTGATTTTTTTTTCCACAAACAAAACATTGGACACACTTAAATGGAAGTACAAATTTTGTTATCTCATAGAATAAGACCATGGATACATATTCAAAGCACTCCATGCTTTTATAGGCCTCTAAGAAAGATGACTGTTTAATGGTATATGTTTATATTAGTAACATAGCCTGTGTCATTAAAAGAGTTATGCTTTCAGTAACAGCTCCTACTCTTTGGGATGTTAACACTATTAGATCTAGATCTAGTATGTGTTCATAAGTAAATTTATTTTTCAAAGCATGTGGATAGTAAGTTGCACAGAAATTCTAAATGCACTCATTGGTCTAGGTAATAAAACATTGTAATAGATGTGGTGCAAGAGCTGAAATCTAGATCTGTTCAACTCTTCTACAAATTCAACATATTTATTTTTGACATCTGGGTCAAAAACATGTTCACCCTAACTATAAAATGTTATTTCTCAATGAAAAATGTGTTAGTTTCTTGCCCTATTTATAAATACAATACCAATAATAATAATAATACCCAGTGCTTTTTTTTGTAAAAAAAAAATAGGTGCTGTGTACTCAGGGATTAGATGCTGGTACTTAGTAGTTGACTGCCTAAATTTTAACTACTAAAAATTAATAATATACATTAAAATACAAGAAAAGTAATAATTTTTTCAAGAAGGTGCCGGTAAGACTTGCCGGTGCATACCGTCACAAAAAAAGCCCTGTATATATATGTGTGTGTGTGTGTGTAAGTGGGGGAAAAAAAACACCCATGATAACTATACCAGTCTATAGTTTACTCAATCTATTATACTATATCTTATCTTATATATTACAGACAGTACTGCAAAAAGAAGATAATTACATTCTATTATGCATTTCATTTGTCAATCTAGTCATGCATGTGAATTAATGACTTAAACTCTACCAAGTCATTGATTTTCCAGGCTGATTCAGGCAACCCATTCTATTCTCTAATGGCACTAGGGAAGAAGGAGCACTTGTATACTAATTTGTTCTAGCGTATGGAATAAGAAATGTGGCTCTATCTTTGTGTCTTTCTGAGTATTTCATTAAGTTTTGTTTATCTATTTGTAAATTATGGTTTAGTGTTTTATAGATCTATATTATAGCTACTTTTCTTTTTATTCTTCTGTCCTGAATTGTCTCTAATTTTACCTAGATATTACTCAAATACTCTTATCAAATTTGAATATTCGTTTGTTATAAATCTCAGTTTTTTTTTTTTTATGTTTGCTGCAGTAGAGGGATCCCAAACAGAGGATGCATATTCTAATATTGGCTTAACTAAAGTTAGATTTATCTAGATATAGTTAAATAGCATTTTAACCTATTTTTAATTTTGATAATTTCATGTTCTTGTTTGATGTTACTGTAAAAAAAAAATCTATTAAATAGTCCCTTTAGAATGTTTACTTTTAATTGCTTGTTATAATTTCATCAATACTATTAGTATTACTAAGATTAACTAATCATCATCTAGATCTAAGTCTAATGATCTACTCTTCTAGTAGCTCTAGTCTACTGATCTAGATTCTAGATCTAGACTCTGTGTATAATAAATGTAGATAGTATATGATATATCTAGATACTAGACTGTCTAGACCTAGAGTCTATAATAATCTAGATCTAGTCACTTAGTTACGCATTTCACTATCAGTCACCTGCGTTGACTCACTGACTGTGTCAGTATCTGAGAGTGAATCTGAGTTTAATCATAATCATAATGATGATCTCACCCACTCATTTTACTTATTGTCTTAGTCTTATTTAACTTATTAGTAGTGACAGTGACTCTTAGTCTTAGTGTGACTTAGTCTGAAAAGGCGAAAAGGAAGCTAATACGATAACCAGATCTAGACAAAACTAAGCCCTAAATCGCATCTATCTTGCAAAATTATTTGAAATTTTAATTTAACAGTCTAGAATCTAGTCTCTAAAGAATTTCTATTTTCTTACGTAATTGCAACAGAGAATGCAAGTAACGTAATTTCAGCAGACAACAGTGCTAACGTGAACCGGAAATAGTACCGGTGTATGAACAAAGAAATTGCTAGTTATCTCTCTTGAATATTTTTTTGGATCTATTAATCAGGGTCAGGAACAGAGGTTCAAGTCCATAAACGCGTTTTTTGCACTACTTAGTTGTAATAATTCAATCTACATAAAAGTTTAAAGGAAATTTAGAACTTCGATCCTAGGATGATTTGTAACATTCGATAAAAAAAATTAATGAAAATGTGAAAGTATCAGAGAGCCTTTCAAATATTTCGATAAAAGCTTAAAGTCAAAGAATAGGCCTACTCATATTGTATGTTTTTACTCGTTTTTGGTAGACTTCCATGCAGGGCCGGATTTAAGGGAGAGCATGGATCTACAGCCCCAAAGTCTACACAAAAGAGATAAAAATATAGCGGAATTTCGACGGGTCAGAAACTTATATATTTTTTTTTCTTACTTTTTTTTTTCGCATTTTTACGGCTGGCAAAAATGTCGTGATTAAGAAGTGTACGCTTGTAGCATGCTTGGAATAAGTAAATGCAGATCCGGATTTACGACGAAGCGTCTGCCAAGAGCCTTACCCTCCACAAACTCAAAAATAGACCCTTTTTTTTAAAATATAAAATATGCGTATTAAATATTTTTTTAAAGGAAAGTGAGATTAAAAAGTAAGAACTCTATTTATAAATAAATATAAATATTGTAATAAACCTGGTAGTGACACAGATGAGGGTAGTGGTGTGTGTTGACAGCAAATCGGCCAGGGGATCAACCTGAGATTAACTCCAATTGGTAGCAAGGCTGGAAGGGCTAGTCCTCCCGTACCGCCTGGGCGAGAAACTCTGCTGTTCGACGTAGGGCCTCATAGCTCTCATACATGTCAAGTGACTCTGCAGACACATTCCCAGCAGCTCTCAGCACATCTTGCTGCGAACACACGTGCAAGATGTGCGCCACTGTTTCCACTGACTTTCCACAGTGTCGGCATCGGACATCAAAATTGGGCTGGAACAGGGCAAAATATGCTCCAACAGGGCAGTGCCCCGTTCTACACTGCGCAATTATCGGCCTTCAGAGCCTCCACCATGGATCGTCGCGGTCCGGGTGCCGCAAATGCTGCCAGACTCCACGGGCTTTGTTGGAGCCATCCCAGGATTTCAACCACGTGTCATGTACCCACACTTGGATTAATATCGTAGCTTGGTTAAACGTACTTGGGACCTCGAAAGTGGGTACGGATGTTATCTGCGGCGCCGGGTGCATCTTCAACCAAAGAGTTGATACGTGGGAGTGTGAAGCTTTTGTACAGTGTGTTACGTTGTTGCCAATTGTACAGTATTGGCTGTGATTTATTGTACATTAAACTATTACGTTGTTTTGGAGCCCTGAGTTGTCAAGTTCTTTAAGTTGGTGGTTTCGTGTGGAGCAGTTTGCAGAAAGCCTGGATAGGGAGAAACGTTACAGTATTTTCATTTATAGCACTAGCGGATCCATAGCTTTTGAGGTTTTTCATAAACACGCGCGCGCACACACACACACGAATATATATATATATATAATTTTAGTGGGAAGATAAAAATGTGACCTAAATTACAATTATAGAAGTGTTTCTCAAATTTCGGGAAAAAAAGCAACAACTTTACATTGATGTTTGTTCTATTGACAGCTAGGGGGTTTTCTTGTTTCTAAACTGCAAGAACGCATTCTTCACACATCTAAAGATCATAATTCATCCTATTAAAAACGGCAGGTCGAATTAAGTAAAATAAAGTATCGTGGGAACAAGGACCGATACACAAGTATGACTGACATCGAGGCACAAGTAACGTTAAGAAGTGACGAGCGCAAAATTTATAATTTTTAAGACCTATTAAATAATGTTTTAATTTTTAAAAAATCTAATATGAATTTACAGCCCTTAACAACATTGCAAACACGTTGTACATTGACAAGAAAAGATACCCCACTGATTGAAACAGTTGATTTAGATTAAGGCTTTGAGGGTCGCCGCCGAAAAAAATATCTCCATAATATATTTGAAAAAGACGTTCATTTATAAGTGAACGATATTATATGTTTCTTAACAGCGCTCTGTAAATTAAGTATTTTTATTATTAAATAATTAATTTTTTCAATACTCCTGTTTGTATCTTCGTTTTGTTAATTCAAAGCTCTGAACAAATTAAATTCTACTCTAATTTTTATGATCATTAGGATTGAAGGATAAATTGTAAATTATAGCCTAGTCGCAATAGAATTAGACCAAGTAATGATTGGGAAAAGGAAAATATTTTGGATTTAGAACTCATGTGAATTGTTACCTTTTACTTAACAGTTTCTCATGAATTCGACATTTTCCAAAAACAAAGTCTAACTTTAAATAATTATGACAACTTCATGTGCAATTATATAGACTCTGTCGCCATATTTCTGTTTTAACAGTCATGTTTTCGAAGGAAGAGGGGAAGGAACGGTGGAATGAAAACAATTAATCATGTAAGAGTTCTCTCTCCATTTTATAATAAAGCTAATGATTGCATTGGACATTAAAGAATAGGGAGTGGGGCGACTCGATATAAGAATTTAATATAAAGCATATCTAATTTATATTAGTGGCATTTTTTTGTTGTAATTTTTTTTTAAATTTAAATTTATTCAATAAAAAAAAAATATTGTATTGATCTCTCCGGCCAGGGGGGGGGGGGGGGGGGTGAGGCGATTGCATCTATCTCTCTCTTACGTCACTTACACGTCTCTCTCTTACGTCACTTACACGTCTCTCTCTTACGTCACTTACACGTCTCTCTTACATCACTTTCACGTGTATATGATTTTTTTTGGATTGTATTGATAATTTGATTTTCATCTTTTGCGTCATTATTTTTTAGACGTGCGTGAAATATAAGACAGCGTCTTACTGTAAGCACAACTAGTTCATTTTTTTTTAATCTTAAAAGTTTTGAACTAATGCCTAACACGGAAAATTAAATATAAAATCAAGTCTTGGGTAAAAATTATAACATTGAAAGAAATCTAAGACTCTCCATTATTACTTCAAATTAAGTTCAAATGTGCATCCATAACTATATGTGTGCATCCCTAGACATATATAACTATATGTGTGCATCCCTAGACATATATAACTATATGTGTGCATCCCTAGACATATATAACTATATGTGTGCACCCCTAGACATATATAACTATATGTGTGCATCCATAGACATATATAACTATATGTGTGCATCCATAGACATATATAACTATATGTGTGCATCCCTAGACATATATAACTATATGTGTGCATCCATAGACATATATAACTATATGTGTGCATCCCTAGACATATATAACTATATGTGTGCATCCCTAGACATATATAACTATATGTGTGCATCCCTAGACATATATAACTATATGTGTGCATCCCTAGACATATATAACTATATGTGTGCATCCCTAGACATATATAACTATATGTGTGCATCCCTAGACATATATAACTATATGTGTGCATCCCTAGACATATATAACTATATGTGTGCATCCATAGACATATATAACTATATGTGTGCATCCCTAGACATATATAACTATATGTGTGCATCCCTAGACATATATAACTATATGTGTGCATCCATAGACATATATAACTATATGTGTGCATCCATAGACATATATAACTATATGTGTGCATCCCTAGACATATATAACTATATGTGTGCATCCCTAGACATATATAACTATATGTGTGCATCCATAGACATATATAACTATATGTGTGCATCCCTAGACATATATAACTATATGTGTGCATCCATAGACATATATAACTATATGTGTGCATCCCTAGACATATATAACTATATGTGTGCATCCATAGACATATATAACTATATGTGTGCATCCCTAGACATATATAACTATATGTGTGCATCCCTAGACATATATAACTATATGTGTGCATCCATAGACATATATAACTATATGTGTACATCCCTAACTTTCTCCGTTTCTTCATCCTCCGAGCAGCCATGTTGACTTTTATGCTTCTTTAATTAGGAAATAGTATCAGGAAGTCGACAACACACAAGACATCATTTATTAATCGCAATAAATTCTCTCAATGTGTCTTATAAGTCTAGGAACACTTCTTAATCTGTGTCAAACCGAACGTCTCAATCTCTACTTGTATCTCATAGTTTCTATATGTATTTATTAAAACATCGCAATTAAAGCTAGAAGCCTGCAGTCACATTTTGTCGATGCCCGTAGTCTTATGATTATATAGAGCTGCCACTGTAATTAGGCAAGAAGCTGGTGGTATCGAGCGATGCCACCAAATTATTTCAACGTTTCTCTGGTACTTACTGATGACAGGTTATAGCAGAGATCGAATGTAACATGTAGGGCTTGATATTTATGTAGAGTTGGAATGAGCAGTTCACTAGAAGGTGTAAGAAACAAAAAGTTTTCACGGCGTCTCTAGAAGGCGGCCCCCAGACTCTACTCTCTGTGATTTCTTTTTGGACTAGCAGAGATGAATTGTGGTTCCACAAATGGAGTGTGGTTCCACAGATAGAGTGTGGCTCCACGAATGATGTGTTGTTCAACATATAGAACATGATTCCACAAATAGAGTGTGGTTCCACATTTTAAGATTTGTTTCACAGATAGATTGTGGTTCCACATTTAGATATTTGTTTCACAATTAGAGTGTGGTTCCACATATAGAGTGTGGTTCCACATATAGAGATTTGCTACACAGATAGAGTGTGGTTCCATAAATATAGTGTGTTTTCACAATTGGTGTGTGGTTCCACAGATGAAGCATGGTTCCATAGGTAGAGTGTGGCTCTACAAAGGGGGCGTGGTTCCAAAAAAAATGGAATGTGACTCCACAGATTGAGTGTGATTACATAGAAAGAGTGTGGTTCCACAAAATGGGAGTTGCTCCTCAGATAGAAGGAGGCGCGGTGGCTGAGTGGTAAAGCGCTTGGCTTCCGAACGGAGGTCCCGAGTTCAAATTGGGGTGAAGACTTGGAGTCCACGCAGCTATAATGGGACCTGACATTAGTTGGGGAAAAGTAAAGGCGGTTATTCGTTGTGCTGGCCACTCTCGTTAATCGTGGACCAAAGAAACAGATGACCATTACATCATCTGACCATTACATCCTCTGCTTTACTTTTCTTTACCCCAAGATAGAGTGAGGTTCTAAAGATGGAGTGTTGTTCAAAAAATGGCGCAGTGACATGGTTGGGGTGTATTTTCAAAGATCAACTTAAAAAGAGGCCTCATCGATCAAGTCAAAATTTTAAAAAGTTATTTTAAGATAAAACTGTCCAGAATAGTTTGAATGCAAGTTAGTCCAGTCATGGGTAAACTAGCGTCCAACTCCAGCACACTGAAAGCTTCACTTCGCCCCCTGCATAGTTTATAATCATAACTTTATATAATCATAATCACACTGTAAAATTCAAGTTTTTATTCGAGTTGAACTTCTGTGTCAAGGGAAGAAATTAAATGTTTACAACAAGGAAAAAATCCATTTACTGGAAATATCTGAACCTTAAAGGTTTCAACAGCAACTAGTTCTGTTTGTCCAGGGCCGGTCCTACAGATTGCGGGACCCGTTTCGTAACGGAGTGCGCGGGCCCAGTCTGGGGTGGGATGAGGATTATAAGTGAAAAGTAAGATTTTGTATTAGAAAATAAATTTGTCTTTGCATTCTATTCATACTTTACTAAGTACAAAATTAACTTTACGAGCCATCTACAGTAGATAGTATTTTTCTAACAAAAAGCCGATGAACATCTTGATCTACCTTTTAGATTTACTATCGACTAGTAAAATATCGCTTTTGGTTGTTTTTTAAGAGGTGGAGATAGATTTAGATCTATATTTGTATGCCAGTGACTAATAAAGTAAATAAAGTATTTGAACTTCTTGTTTTGGTTAAAATTCGCTTTATTATTACATTTTTATGAAATAAAAGCTGACAATGCCTTTTTTTATAATCGCGAGTAGGATTGGCATTTTCCATATTGAATGACACCACGAAATGACAATTTTGTCTGTTTTTAAGGAGATTTGGATGCGTTTTCACAAGATTTTCATTATATACAGATGTTCATGACTTTTTCGTATATACGCAATTCAGGAGAATTCCAGGAACCCTTTAATAATAAATTAAAATGGTTAATTTAATAATTTATACCTAGAATTTTGCGCGGGGCCTATGCAAGTGCGGGCCCACTGCGGCCGCATAGGTTGCAGTGGCCTAAGACTGGCCCTGCACTATTTGTCAATCAGCAAACTTTAGAAGACGTGACCACGCTTCAAGCGCTTATGAAACCTGAAGATTACTTCATGAAACTTTAAGATGATATTTAAAAAAAAATAATTTTAAACTTCAATGCAATTATCTAACTAAATCGACGCTTAACATACAGTGAACATGGAGTTTAGTTCCATTGAGTGCGGTTCCACATATGGAGTGTGGTTTCACAGATGTAGTGTGGTTCAACAGATAGCCGGTGTGGCTT